ATTGTATCCGTACTGAGTAATCCTGAGCTATCCAGGCGTTTCACAATCCAATCGACTTTTCTGTCTAGAGAAGCCAACAGAGAGAGGTCATCCAGGGAAATATGATTGTCCTTTGCTAGTGAGCAGCGCCCAGCCTTGCTTTTTGAGCAATCGTTACAGCTGTGGAGAAAATGCTCGTTGCTAGCTAGGAGAGCATAATACCTCCGGCCCAAGCCAGTACAAGATTCATGGGACCACCGCTTACAGATATCACACTGCATGTCTCCCGACGAGTCGTAACTGCTTTGAGACATCCGCTTTGCCACATATAACCACCGAGTCAACGGAAAGAAGACCCGGGGAGTCGGGAAGGCTCTTGCGGACCATCGTAACAGAAGGGAATCAAAGAGAAGGGAGAAGCAAGCAGAAGAAAAAAAAGGAATCATAAACCGGTTGATGGTAACTAACTATGTAGTCTACGAGAGCGTTAGTCGGAAGGACCAGGAGTAAGACGTTTGTACTGATGTGGACTCACTCGATCGCACAAGATTGGGAGGCTGTTGGCGGCGAGTTGTCCAAAGTCAAATATTCAGTTCAGCTATTCAAACGCTATATTCACCAAAAGATTTCGAGAACACGAAAATGCACAAGGTCCAACTTTTCACCAAGTATACACAAAGTAATGCGAAATACAAGTATGCTGTGACCCGCGGAAGTAGAGATTCGAGCGTAAGGAAGCTAAGATATTGGGCGCTTCCAAACCTTTCTGAATCACAAAAATGACAAAGACAGATTATCTTCTCAGTATTGTTCAACACCTGCCATACAAAGCTTCTACGAAAAGCTCACGCCAGCTGGGTCAAGCGAGCGATACAAGGAAGACAGAGTGAATTCCGAGTATGTTAAGAATTCTGAGTCCTTTTGGTTCCCAAGAAAACTGACAAAGGCCAAATTTTCCGTTCAGTGTTATTCAAATACTATTAAAAATCAAGTTCAGAAAAAATGCTCAGACAGTGAAATACGACAAGCGTAGTATACGTGTCAGGTAGAACACCAGAGATCGGGACAGAACTTCTATTAAACAACACGTAGGCTCTATAATAGGAAATCAATAATGCAAAGAGAGCTGAAAGAAGAGTTACAGTTAACCGTTTTCCTCGGAATATTGTCCGTCTTCGGTAACCGCACAGGAATGGCGCTCTGGAAGGCAAACGAGAAAGATGCCGTGAAAGCAACGATTCAAATTCGGTCGCTTGCCACAATGCTTGCGATAGTTCGTTACACCGTACCCTCTCTAAGTAGGCAACGTCCCTAATGCCATACCGTAGCCCCCTTGAGCCGGTACTTCTATTTCGGACGCTACTTCTGCCGACGTTTCATCATGTAGCTCCTCGGCTGAGTGGTCAGTCTCACATCGGAATGGTTTAAGCCTATTAAAGTGTACGACCATAGGTTGTCCGACGGGATTGTTCGGGTCCTTAATCACACAAGTTAGATTATTCGTTGCACAAAGTAAGGACCCGTCCATTCGTGATGTAACTTCGCTGGCATCCCTGCCGTTGGTGCCTGATGCAAATATACAAGTTCGCCTGTCTTCAACGGAACGCCGAAAACCTAGTTGTCGTAGTATTCCATTTTGTCGTCGTTGGGCGTTCGCCAAATGAACGCGTGCAGTTTGATGTATCTGTCGAATAGAGTCGAGAAGTCTACTCACGTAGTCGGTTAGGTACGGATACACGCGCTGCGATATAGGCAGTCGGACGTCTGTAGGTAGCCGAACTTCTCTTCCCGTCCACATGAGAGATGGCATTTGCCCGGTAGATGAGGGGACCGTACTTCGATAGACCAAGAAGCACTTAGGTAACAGAACATCTCAAGCATAGATAGTTTAGTACACGAAAGCCTTCGGAAGAGATTTTAACGACCGATTCGTACGTTCTACCTGTCCGTTAACTCGGGGATGATACGCCGCTGTCCGTGTCTTGTCAATACCGATTACTCAACAAATTTCCTGCATCAGCGGGCTTGCAAAACATGACGAGTTATCCGTATGCAGTTGTCCCGGCGCTCCCTATTGGCAAATCCAGATTCGTAATTGCTGATGCCACTGTGAAGGTGTCAGCTCGCGCGATGGGTACGGCCTCGCACCATTTAGTGAAATAATCCAGCATAACTAGAATGTGTCGGTTTCCCCGCGGTGCCTCTTGTAGAGGACCAATGAGGTCTGCTCCCACGATCTCGTTTGGAAACCCTGCCGTTACGCACTGCAGTGGTGCCTTTTGGGCAGTTTGCGGATTCTTGAACGTGACGCACATCTCACATGTCTGGAAAAAGTTGACGACATCTCTTCGCTGATGTGGCCACAAGAATGGTCCGCGTACCGCCACTCGTGTTTACTTACTCCAGCGTGCCACAGCTGTTGATGCAGTTCTGATAGCACTGCGGTAACTAACTTCTGCGGAAATGCTATCCGCCGAACGGGTGTTGGCCCGAAATCAAACACTAACATACCCTCTTCAATGGCCAGCATGTCCCACATGACCCACAATTACCGAGCTACGTAGCTTCTTCCCCGCATTTCTTTCGGAGTCGGTCTATCACCTCCAAAGCGCAATTTAGCGTAAATAATTGTGATGTCTGGATCTGAACCCTGTGAGTCTTGACACAGCCCTGCAAGTGGCGGAACAGTTGGAGCAGGTGGACGCAGCGATGGGAACCCCGAACTACTGGTGTGGTGCTTTGGGAGGGTAGATCATCTTAAACGCATGCAAACAGAAAGCGGAACACAACAAGCTACCTTTGATCGAAGTTACGGCGGACGACGGACCATGAACCCAGCCTTATCAAGGCCGTAACGGCAGCCACAAAGACGCGGAATATACACACCACCCCGCAGCAACTAGTGTTTTCAAGGTGAGCGCGACTATTTAAAACCTGAGTTCATACCAGCTGTTAGTTGTACATCTGCCACAAAATCAACATTGATGTTGGAAGGTTGCGGGGCGTTTGACAGCTCAAAAGGAATCATCTGAAACTTGTAGAGACCGGATGGAACGATAAACGTTGTTTTCGCCGTCACTTTCCTCGACCCCCAATTTGCAAATAACAGGAAACCAAATCTAACGTACTGAAGTAGGTCAACCCGCCAAGCGCGTCGAAGAGGTCATCGAATCTTGGGAGAGGAAACGCGTTTTTCCGGGTGACTCCATTTAGTCGTCTGTAGACAACACAACCGAAAACTACCGTCCTTTTTCTTCACTAAAGCAACTGGAGCTGCCCAGGAAAATGTAGAGAGACGTACTACATCCCTTTCCAACAACTCGTCGATAAGCTTCTGCAACTCTCCCTGCCAATTTATTGGGATCCCTCGTACGGGAGTCCTAATCGGTGTCACATTACCCGTATCTATCCGGTGTTTCACTATATTGGTTAGCCCTAGGTCCCCGGTTGAACAAGCGAATGCGTCTGAATGCTAGCGCAACACGTCACTGAGTTGCGCTCATGTAAACTCGTCAGTTGGCAGGTCGACAGAACGGACAAACGCATCGATACATCGCTCATTCTCAGAACTAGTCCCGAAAATGGTAAAAGCTACCTGAACCTTGTTTCTGCAAGGTCAGAGTGTACTGAGGAACGAAAACTGAGTCAGCGCGCTACTTGATTTTGAACTGGTGCTTACACTGCGCTCTCATTTACTTTGCAGAACCCCGGTCGTGCGCTCTTACGGAGGAAAAAGTGCAAGCAGAAGATTGACTGTAACGTTTATTTTCATTTTATAACGTTCTTGCACCTATTGTATTTGCTACGGGTTGCGTAATACACCATCCATTTAAATCTTTGGAGTTCTCCCGAGTTTGGATATTACAATGTGGCGACCCTGCCAAGATCGATAAGCAACGCAGAAACCAGCTATTGAATCCGTCAAGGAAAACCAGTCGATTGTCATGGATCCCGGCGTGAGAATTTCCTTCGCTTTGGAATCACTCAGACGCCCTGCAGAAGATGACGATGAACCCGCTACCAACCGCCTCCACTCCTTTATTACCGCCCCCGGAAAGATTTTCTCCAGGTATGACATATTCCAGATGGGAAAAATGTGCAGTTGTACATCAAACATTTCCCGACTTCACAGCGTGGAACTGTCATTATGTGACTACTTTCTAAAGATGCATTCGACATCGTCGCCGATAGTAAAGTATTGCAAAGGGAAGTTAATTTTGAAACTTTCACCGCCCTTCGCCGCCTACTAGACCGGCCCGGTCTGCCGGCCGAACTTCGCGGCGCATTTCATGTCAGGTATCAAAGACCGGGAGAGATCATCGAGGCATATGTACGGGATTTGCGTAGAATGTCTGAAACAGATTTTGTCGACGAATCGCCCGACCGGGATTCTGCAAAGTAAATGAGAGCGCAGTGTAAGCATCAGTTCAAAATCAAGCAGCGCACCGACTCAGTTTCCTTTCCACACTAATACACGTATCTGTAATCAATTGGCACTTTGCCAAATCAAGCCGACACCACAATCGGCGTAACATATCCACACTGATAATTACGGCAAAAGGTATTCTGTCGGCGGCAACGAACTTCTGGTTAAGCATCGCATTAGCGATAGCTACCTGTAGGGTGAGCTTCTCGAACAGTGAGAGGCTCGCCATTAGCGGCCGTGGGGCGATAAAGACAAGGGGCCCGAACGCAGTCTGTCAGCCGCCTAGCTACGTTTTGCCTAAACAAGCTTTTGCATGCACCAGTATACCTTTGTGAGTACTACGCGGCGGGTGGGTGAACTTTTCGAGTGGAGATGAAATTGCCTTTTTTCAACCAAGCTAGGGAACATCTCTTTGTGAAGCAGCTCTTCGTTGGCAACAAACTTTGTCAAGGATTAATTAATACCCGTGTTGTGTATCACCAAATCGTACCCGGAGGTCAACTGCCACCGATACAGCGCATCTTTGCTGACGTATCTCCATCCCTCGATTCCGCTATTCCATAAGCTGCGACTTTCGCAATATTCCCAACTATGCCTTTAAAATAGTGTGTGACATGTCGAGCACCCATTCTGGACAAACACCTGGCATTGCAATGCGACGAGTGCATGAAGTGAGATCACGTACATTGCGTGTCAAGGAGCACGGAATTGTACAGAGCCTTGAAAAATCACACGTGCAACCACATCCCGTTTTTTTGCACCACCTGTAAATGCACACGACAGCATGTTCCCGCGGGTTGCGGTTTATTGACAGTGGGCAACGAAATTCCTTCGAAACGGACCTCTTCCAGATATCCGAGCATCCAAAAACAGACGAGTCACAGTCAGCACAGCCTACAACAATGCATGATGCCATTGCGACTCCAAATATCAGTGACCGCCCACAGTCAGTTGTATCACCAGATAGAGCAGCCACTACGTCTGAGGACAGAAACCGAGTTTGTGTCAACCAGAAGCTATCAGACACAACGTGGATAAGCCCCCGCAAGCGAAAGCCCCGCGCCACGAATTGAACCTCTAGTGTACTAACCTCAAACGACAAACCCTGACGCTGGACCAAGGAGATTTATCAACAAGCACAACGTAGTGCCTCGGGAGAATTGCTTCATGTTATTCTACGCTCCGGAGTCGGACGATTGTGACCGTCAAGCCAGGTATAACCACGATGTAGAATTCCTGCAATGCTTGGTCGACAAAATACTAAATCCAAATGAGTCGGGCATGCGTATAAAGCGCATTATTCGTCTTGGCCAGTGCTCAAGCAATCATCCGCAACCGGTAAAAATAATTTTTGATGACGCCAGTTTCCCTAAGCTAGTAATCGCTTGCCTTGGACGTCTAAAGGGAATGAAAATTCACATACGTCCTGATATTGAACCACAACTGCGTGAGCTGCTCAAGACGGCTACGCTGGAACTTAAACGCCGAGTGCAAGCCGGTGAAACCGATCTACGAATCGTAAATTCTCGTGTAATTCGCAAGAAGCCCTTCATCAACAAACCGATCCTACTGATGCCGAGAGGTCTGCGGATAGCGTTCAGGAATGTACGCAGCCTGATTAACTAACGGGACAACAATGGATCGCTCAAGAAAAACCGGACGTCTTAGGAGTAGCGGAACATGGCTTCATGAGGGAGTACTGGATGAGGAACTAAACATTGACGACTACGTTCATTTCCGCTGTGATCGTAAATTGAGTCCACACGGAGGCGTGCTGCTGTACACGAGGTACGGTATGAAAAGCTGCTTTATAAATTCCTACCTAAGTTGTGATGGGGGTTTTCTGAAGAAATCTGGTGTCAGACACAAACAGTTCAAGGGATAATTCATGCTGGAGTTGTGTATCGGAGTCCCGTGAATGTTACCGCCGATTGGATTGAAGCCCTTCGTACACACGTTCGAGGACGTAACTTCATTTTAATGTGCGACTTCAATTTCCCGCATCTTGACTGGAATGTCAATGACTGTTTACCAGGAAGTAGCCTGGTTGTGCAAATGTTCTTGAACAAGGTGCTCGAAGCGGGTCTGGTTCAGCACGTTTAAGAGCCTACTAAACTGCTTCCCGGACAATCTACAGCCTGCCTGGATCTTTTATTGACCAATTCCGAACAGTCTATGTATCTCATCACGCTACATGAGCCAACTGAAAAGAGCGATCATTTGATCGTCTTAGCCAGACTGACTATACCGCATTCACGCGACCCTGGTCGGACGCCAGGTTGTAATGTTTGGAAGGCTGATTTGGCCAGTATGCGTGGGGAGGTCGAATCGGTTGATTGGATCCTTACGGAGGGTGACTCAGTCGAGTCATTCTGGTCAAGCCTCAGGGACAAAGTTAACTCACTATGCAAGTAGTTTATTCCACTCAGATACAACACGAAAAAACCTAGGTTACCACCATGGTAGGAGCAAAATTTTCGTCAGTTATCTAGGAGACGTAAGAAGTTATGGTTGAAATATCGGAATACCATGGATGCACATGACTACGTGGAGTACAAAACTCAACGTAACCTTTGTAATTCTTCCAAGCTGACGAAGAGTGCAGCTTATGAATTGTCAATAGTGGATTCTGCCAAATCGGCTCCAAAGAAGATCTTTACATGCATTAACCGACATCTTAAACCGAAGGATTCGTTGCCCACACTTGAAGATTCCCGCGGCCAACTAAGATTTTCAGATGAGGGGAGAGCGTCGATTCTGGCGTCGCATTTCGCCTCCGTTTTCTCTCCACGCCAGTCACTCCACTCGACCGATGACTCTAGCCTACAACCAGTAATAGAAGACTTGAGGTGCACCGTTGAAGTCGCTGGTATGCTGGAAGCTTTTGATACGTCCAAATCTCCTGTACCGGACGGTTTTCATCCCTTAATGTCGAAAACACGGACTATTGTGATAACTACCCTCTCTCTGATCTGTTCAATAAATCGCTATATATCTATATGGTTGGCGGCATCCGGTTTCGGATTTGCCTGTCACTGTGGCAAGCCACAGGACGCCTGCGCCTACAGAGGGACCATGGATGGCTTGCGCTGCACCACCCACAGCTCCAACCACATACCCCATATCCAGTGTAAACCCGAAGGAATAAGACCGGGAGGCATACGGATGGGAACCACGTTTCATCAACGGAGCCGGCCCACACTCCTTCACAGGCAAACACAAGCACGCTGTAGTTGGGGAATCAACCGCACACAAGGCGGTGGCTGGACCGTAGTCCGCTCCACACTGAGTGCATGGAACCGCTCTTTGAGCCTAGCACGGCCACAAGAACCGTGCACCCCGTCCCCTCCAGCAACGACCAACTGTCTCCTGGAGCCAGTATGAACGATGTAGTGGGTAATAGACAGGTAGGCACCTTGTCAACATACACATCAAGCGCAACCATACCAGGGATAGCAAACAACAGCCATTCACTTTAAACGATAAGCTGAAATAAAATAAATCCAATAATGCATACAGATACGGTGGCATAACTCTTCGCTAAATTACCATATGAAGTAAGTTGGTTAGCAACAAATCCGTGATAAGTAAGAAATGTCCACAAGTTACTTAAAATGCTACAAACGCAACAAAATTACCGAAGATAAGCGCAATTAGTGTAAGCAACGTGGCCAGTTAATAGAACATTATTCAGGGAGGCAGAACAAACCAAGTAAAGCGGAATGAAATTTAGCCAGCTTAAAAAGACCTAGTTTAAGTGTAAGTTGGTTTAGCCCAACTGCGGTGAAGAAGCATCAAGAATGCAACATCAGCCTCAGCATGGGGCACACATACATACATGGTTGGCGGCATCCGGTTTCGGATTTGCCTGTCACTGTGGCA